AGTCTTGCCTGCCCTGCGGGGGGGGGGCGGCGGAGAGGGGAAAGCCTCCCTCGGGCATCGCACAGGGCTCCTCCTCCTCCTCCGCCGCCGCCCAGGGCTCCCTCGCAGCCGCGGCATGGGTTCAGGTGCGGCTGTTTGCCTTCCCGGTCACATCGCATTGGCTTGCGCCTTCTTGGCTTGCGCTTCTTTCAGGGTGCTGTAAACAAATATTTGTTGCGGGGGGGACGGGACTCAGGGCTTTCCTTCAAGCAAAGCCACAGGAGTGTGGTAGTGTGCTTTTATATCTATAGCAACTTAACAGCAACAGAACCTGATTAGCGCTTTTTCTGCCCGGGACCCTTTCAAGGCACCTTTCCCTCTTCCCCCTTTTTCTTACAGAGGCTCCATGTTTCTTGCAGTGAGAGAATTATTTGCCCAGATAGTTTTCATTTTTTTGCTTTTTAGAAGAGCCATGTCATTCTCACTTTCTGAGCTTGCTTGTCTTTATGTGAATGCCATTGAGAAAGTTCCCTTCAGAGCAGGGGAATTTAGAAGGCTGCACAGGAGAACCGTCCTCCTGTTTTCTCCCATTCTGTGGAGGAGGAATGGAGTGCTCTGAGGAACTGACAGCTTTCCTGCACGAAGGAAATGGTCCTCACTGTCCATCACAAATGATGGATCACCTGCTGTCAAATATGATCAGGCCCATCTGAAGTGAGCAGGTTGGATGTCTCTTTGTGCATAACGTTTTCAACCCTGTTTTAAAAAGAAAAGCCGTTGTGAGAACTGCAGCCCTTGTGTTGACTTTCAGGGCTGTCGGTTGGGGCGTGTCTCCAGATTTATTTTTCAAGTCCCTAAAAAAAAAAACACTCTTTAGGGCCAAGTGTGCAGTGGACACTGCCAGTAGGCAGAGAAAAGGAATGCCAGTAGCTGTAGGAGACACCACCCCCCTCCGTCCTCTTCAAGATAAGCTCTGAGCCCTTCTCCCTCTGGGGCTTTGCTGAAGGGATCACGTGAAAGCGGGGGGGGGGGGG